CCGGTCGAGGTTCAGTGTTTTTGTTTTGAGAAGTTGTACATGTTTTTTTTGTCTCAAGCTGTGATAATGTTCCGCTGGGAACTCGGTTTGTTTTCTGCTGTGAAAGATCAAAAAAGTGAAGAGCCCTTCAAGTCATCATTCAAACTATTGGTTTTGTTGACATGCTCTGTGTTACATTAATGCTCTAATGGAGGCAATTTCAATATTTGAGCAGTTGCTTTAAAAGGAAACATGGCAGCTTTCTGGAAGTTGATCAAATGAATTAATTGATTAGCAAAAAACTCATCAATAAATAAAACAGATTATTCATTGTTAAAATCATTTTCACAAGTTTTCCTTTGTTACTTTAAATTAACTCGACCGATTTATCAACCAGCCGATAATATCAGCGACTATCGATATTTGATAATTTTATTGCAGATATGCGCCGATATTACAGATTCATTCAGCAGTCAAACAGCATTTCATTGTATTACACTAGCAGTTCTCTGTCACCAGCAGAGGGCGCTGTATGAATTGCAAAAAGCATCATCACTCTGCAGAGTGACAAGCGATGATGCACGTACACGCTTAGTTACTTTCCAGTCGAGTGACCATCTTGTCTTCATTAGAAATCTTTATCATCATATCATTATATCATAATATCATTTTAACTTTTTTGTAGAAGCTGACTCAGGGAGAAACACACAAAAATTCCAATGTACCTGTACTGTCCTGTACCTACGCAAATGGCAATAAACATCTATTCTATTCTATTCTACATTGTGTGGGTTTCATTTATGAGAAATGATTGACAGGGACCAACAAACACAAAAAAATGGCACGGTGCATGGGGAGTATATGTGATCAAACTGACCAGTTAAGCCATGCCCCCTTCAACCCAGTGGGAGGAGCAAGTGAAAACATCACTTCGGGGTTTATACTATTTTCCTTCATTGTCGTAAACATGGGAAATATTCAACAGCTTTGAAGACAAAAAAAACCCAACATTATTTTACAACCTTTATTGTTTTCAGTTGTCTTAAGACAAACTTCCAAATGTAACCTCGACTGCTTTTTTCACCTTTGATGACAGTTCATGTTCTAATATATTGCACTGCTCATGCGGGGGAACTGATGGCCTAGCGTTTAGGTGGCTGCCCCATGTACAGAGGCTGTAATCTTCAAAGCGGGCGGCTCTGGTTCGAGTCTGAGCTGTGACTCACTACTGTATCCACTGTGTTATTAAATTAAAGGCAGAAGCCAACAAATACATCTTTAAAAAGATGTTGGTGCATGTGTATATTTCAGCCTATGTGTGTGTTGCATGACTTACAGAGTGTAAAAACTGAAATTTCACCTTCCGGGGATCAATAAAAAAGTTAAAATCTGACTCAGCTTTTGTAGCTGAAGTGGGACAAAGACAAAATTGTGAATGTTATAGAAACATAAAATCTAAATCTAAATGGTGCAGATGCTTTAGGATTTATTAAAATTGTGCTACATGTGAAAAAATCCTTTTTCTGTTTTTAAACTGTGACAACAACAGACAGGAAGTGATAAGAGTTCAGACAGCACAGTCTTTTGTTTCTGTGAGTCTTTGCCCCGGCTCATCTTTGGTTATTGTTTCTTTGTTGTGAAACTACTGGTGAGTTTGACATTTTGGGTTCACACTGACTAAACTGCTTTCAAGTCCGCCTAAGCGCCTCGACCGAGGTTGAAATGTTTCCCCACTGTCGACATGAATGGAGAGGTTTTTTGGTCGCGTCAGGTGATGGAGAATCCCATCGTGAGGTAACAGCACAGCGGCCATGTCCACTGTGTGATACTTCACCTCAGGCTGCAAGAATCAAAGCACCACCTGCGGACAGCGACACAAACACTACTCTCCATGTCGAATAGCTCCACTTCAAATTTCACATATCATCCTTTTAGCTGTAGAAAGAAAACAAAACTCACTAAAACCTGAATGTTGAAACAATCTTTTTAGTTAATGTTTTCACTCTTGCTTCCACACTGAAAAATAGAAAAACGCGCCATATTTACACACACACATCCATCTCAGCTGGGCTTAAAGCGGGGCACTGCCAAGCGTCTCGGAGGCAGGTAGCCATTAACTCAACGAGAGTGTGACATTATCGCTTGAGTCACCGCTCTCTCTGTGCCCCTGCCAGCCACCATATACAAGACTGCAGCAAACCTATAATCAAGAAAGTGATAGAGAAGGGTCATTGTTAAAGGAATTAGCAGCTTGACTAAATTACTGTTTTCTCTGGAAGTGCAGAGAGGTTAGCACTGGGAGCGGGGGAAATGTCAGCCTGAGACTGGCAGCGGGCAAAACATGAATGTGCTTCTGTTAAAGTCTTTCTATGTGATTTTTCACACTGAAATGTAATAGAAATCAAGTATATCCTCTGAAAATAACTCTGTGAGTCATGACTGTTTACAATGGGTGTAACACCCGAGTCCCACTGTCTGTGATGTTTTCAGAGTTTTCAGAGTCCTATCTTCAGTTTGTTTACATCGCCAGGACAGCCGGCTGACTCCTCCCCTCGTGTATAAAAGTTGTTTAATTGAGGGACTAGAGAAAAGAAGAATAACATACTGTACTCACTGCTTAACTGTGTTTCTAGATCACGCTCATTTCAGGTAAATTTACATGCAGTGTGACGATACGAGCATAATAAAGTTCGCTAGCATTAGCATGCTAACACAACAATGCAGCGCAAGGTGTTTTGGTTTCATGCTGGTGCTCAAGGGCGACATCTGCTGGATCAAAAAAATCACCTGTGAAGCCTTTAAGAGGAATGTAAAGAGCAGCGCCAAGGGTTCTTCAGTCTATATGAATGCAATCTTTCTTCTTTCTGAAACTGGAAGGCTCGGCTGGATTCTGGCATGTTGATGCGATGTTCAATGTTGGCTGTTGCCACCACCTTTCATTCCCTGTGTGAATGCTTGTATTTACACCGACAAACCTGGAAGAAAGTCCTGCAGGTTGCTCAGGTAAAGCTTTACCCACACATGAGTTGTAGTAAGTGTGCCGAGAAAGAGAGACTGGATGTGAAGCTGCCAGTGCTTACCAATGAAAACAAAAAAGAATACATCTTTTCACATTATGATCATTCTTCTTCCTGTTGTGTAAATCTACCTGTCAGCCCATCAGGTTCACAACAGATGGCTGTCTACCTATGAGTCTGCTCTGTAAATAACACCGCAAACAGTATGGTCTGGATGGAAAGTGTCATGACATCAATTTTGTTGTGATTTGGCGCTGAATATAGAGCCTAGTTGACTGATTGATGTATCGATTGGTTATCACATTAAGATGAACAAGTGTTGATTTATTTCCTACAGAATGTCGATGACAAGTTTCCAGAGGCAAATATTCTGTCTTTAAAGGTTTTATATGCAATTTTTTCATCCAGCAGATGTCGCCCTTGAGCACCAGCATGAAACCAAAACAACTCGCACTGCATTGTTGTGTTAGCATGATAATGCTAGTTATCTTTAGTTAGCTCGTAGCTTCACACTGCATGTAAATTTACCTGAAATGAGCGTGATCTAGAAACACAGTTAAGCAGTGAGTACAGTATGTTATTCTTCTTTTCTCTAGTCCCTCAATTAAACAACTTTTATACACGAGGGGAGGAGTCAGTCGGCCGTCCCGGCGATGTAAACAAACTGAAGATAGGACTCTGAAAACTCTGAAAACATCACAGACAGTGGGACTCAGGTGTTACACCCATTGTAGACAGTCATGACTCACAGAGTTATTTTCAGAGTATATACTTGATTTCTATTATATTTAAGTGTGAAAAATCACATAGAAAGACTACAAAAAGTTACAAAAAAAGCCAAATGTTGATGATTATTCAATCCAATAAAATTCTCATTTGAGCATTATCCAATCAAGAAGGAAAGTTTCAAAACATCTGAATGGCTACAATCACTTTGCATATGTCTTTCATAAAATCCTTTAAAAACACAGGTTGCATGAGATGACTGAAACAAAAGGCACTTCATAAAAAGCATGTGTGAGTGTTGAGTAAGAAGAGTAAAGAGCCATCTTTGCTAAGCTTAAGATAGGAGAAAATGAAAGATGAGAGTGAATCACAGAAACACAGAAGAAGAGAGATTCACTGCCCATTTTAAACCAGGTAAAAATGTAAGCTTGCTTTGCAATAGGCTCTGTGTAACTGAATGTAAATATATCTAAATGAATTTTTATAATCAGGCAGATGGCCTTGTTAGATTCGCCTTCCTGACGCCTTGTTGCTTGTGTTTCAGCCACTGGGGTTGAGTGAATGGAGGGGCCATCTGGGATTGGCCAGGGCTTCTGTGAATGAGCCGGCGGAGCGCCATTCAGCACCGCGGAGCTGTCCGCGGTGCTGAATGTGGAGCTGTCCGCGGTGCTGAACGCTGCTGGTGGTTTATTTTTCACACATAACAGCCCACCTTCTTCAGTTGAAAAGCGGGTAAACAGTGACACGGGGCCTACAGCTGAAAACGAGGCCTATACGTGAGGGCCTGCCAGTGAGCAAACACAAGAGCCTTCCGCCACATTAGGCAGGGAAACCACCTCTTGACTTTAATGAAATGCTCTCGATATTAAGTGGGCGGCCATGATGAACACCTGGCGGACTGCGACAGCACACACACAGGCTCCCAGGAGTTGTTTGCATAGGGCAGCAGCAGCAGCCTCCTTCCTGGCTCATTAAGACGCCAGGTTGTAAAAAGCCCCTATCTGTTGGCCAAAGGGAGAAAAGATACTAGCAGGGGCAACATTAGCATGGGGGGGCCTTAAACACAATGAGGGAGATGAATGAACATGAGGCCTGGAGCCGGGAGTCTCCTTGAATCTGTCATCCGTCTCCATGGCGACAGGAGGAGGAGGAGGAGGAGGACCAAAAAAACTGGCATCTATCCGGGCCCCAAATCAACAGATGGCCACCACATCACCCCCCCACCTCCAAACACCACCACCCCCTTCCCCCCTTTTTTTTTTTTTTCCTGCATCCTACCTTGCACTGCTCCATGCACGTCCTCACCGAATAAGCCCCCGGCTCGTATTTCTGAGTGAGCAGCTCAAAGTCCTCGTATTTCTCCTGGGCGTGCTGGTCGTAGCGCTGGTACGCCTGCACGCACTCGCTGCATCTGTTGGTGTCATCGGTGAGCAACTCGAGGCTGCAGTTCAAATTGTCCGGACTCGTCGACCCGTAGAACAAATCCAGCAGAGAGTAGGAGTTACAAAAGGAGAGGTACAAATCGCTCATATTTACAGCCCGGGTGCCCTCTTTGTCGGAGAGGCCCTCGCACAAATCGTCGGCGTTCGCGAGGGTGAAGCAGTCTTTAGATAAACTATCCTGGTGGCAAGTTTCGAGCCGCCACAGATGTCTTGTGGAGTTTCCTATAAAAATAGCTGGGTTTCCTCTGAGGCTGCTGTGTGCTGAGTGGGTCTGGGGTGACAGGAGGTGGGAGGGTGCGAACTTGACCCGGGTCCGGGCCTCGGCGCAGAACCACAGGTGATCAGAGAGGAGGATGGTTAAGAACAAGAGGGATGCCAAGGACAGTCGCCATCTCTGCGCCCTCTCGGAGTCGGTGAATGGCTTTTGGTTGTCGCGGGGGGGCTCTAGCCAGATTTGGAAGCCGTCGTCATCTTCTTGCTGCCAACACGTCCCAGCACCCCTGGTCATATTTTGGGAACCGGCCGACTCCACCGTGGGGGCTCCTCTGCCGCAACAGTCATTGACGTGGGGGTCCGCTTCGCGTTTTCCTCCCCTCAGTTGTCAGGCGGGTGGGTTGTCCCGGCTTGCCTTTTGCGTTCAGCGGTAATTCCCATCAAAATGCGCGTGGGCCGGGTGGCAAATCAGACGCTGGCGACCACGGGCCGCATCCTCCATGGCTGACCGGTGAAGCCTGTGTCCTCCCCGTCCGCCCTGAGCTCTCCGCCGCCGCTGCCGCTCCGCTCCTCTGCGTAGCCTCGACTCCCCGTTTTTCGAAACACTCACCGACGCGTTTTTACGTTTTCCCCGGCCTCGGTCGTGCAGGGACAAGGGCGCTATCCTCTTCCAACATGGCGAAGCTGTCTGTGTTCGTGTTGGCCGGATGGGCCCTGCAGCCTGTGACAAACCTCTTTTCCCTTTTTCAAGCCCTCGCCGTCTTCATCTTCGCTGCCGTTGTCAAGTTGCCGCCATGTTCGCCAAGAGACGGTGTGTGTTTGCAGGAAGCTGCGTCAAGGTGGCGGCAATGAACAGCAGCATTTCCGGAATTTTAATTCAGAATAAAGTTAGTTACTTTTTACCCAAATCACAGTTTATCAGCACATTAACCACATAATACTACTACTACTAATAATAATAATAATAATAAATTGTATTTATAAGCGCCTTTCAAGACACACAAGGACACTGTACAACAATCAACATACCATATAATACTTTGTTGAAGGTTTAATAGCTCAATACATTTTAGGAATCCCTGATCTACCAATACCAAGGCTTTTCATTGGTTCATAGCAAATGTGTGTTTTATAGCTGTTTTAAATATTCTAAAAGGAAAAAAAGGAGCACAGCTTTTAAAACAGGACAATGTAATTTTATTTATTTTATTCATTTATTTTAATTTATTTTATTTTTTTATTTTTTTATTATTATGTTTTTTATTTTATTATTTTATTCTAAATCTATGTTTTAGTATCTATCTATTTTTTTGTATATTCTTAATTTTTCTTTTTTTATTTAAATTGTACTGTGTGTACAAAAGTGTTCACTTTTTTGCAATCTTTGCTCTTGCTGCTGTAACAATGTAAAATTCCCCGTTGTGGGATAAATACAGGATTATCTTATCTTAATAAAGAAAAAAAAGAAAAAAATAACCTTGCTGGCAAAATATAGCAGAATGAAAATAATTGTTTCTGTGTTGTGAATGACGCAATTACAATTTAGATATCTTAAGATTTTGTTTTAAATAAAAATAGATGTTAAAGGAAAAGCTCGCCATGGCATATTTATTTCATTTTATTTTGAAGGCCTAATTGACAAACATTACAAATCGCGCTCTTAATATCGACGGCTTCACAACACATCTCCAGCTCTGACGTTATGCGCGCGCACCGCAGTTACCGCATCCCTCAGTGCTGAGGTGCGTCAAGTCGGATATGGTGCGCAAAAAAATGTCACCAGCAATCATTTTGAATTTGACTTCAAAATGAAAGCTTATGAGTTCAGTCTGGAAATGAAATACTTTCTCAGTTATGAAGCTGCATAGTACAATAATAAAGAAAAACAACTAGAATAAGAACATCAGCTGTAGCCGAGATACTACTCAATAAAATGTACTAACAGGATAATGAAATTAAAATTGCTATTTTATTTTTTAAACTTCCCCTAGAACGCTCGTGCTAGCTTATTTTATGGTTGACTTGACACTCGTCCATGCAGCCAGGTTGGTACTCACCTGGTTTCACACAAGATGCTCCACTAACAAAAACCAGACTGTTTCCTCTGGAGAGGTCAAAGTCAATGTTTTTGCATTTTCTTGAGCCCATGTCTCACTAAAACAGACACTTTCAAAAAGCGTGTCTTGTGGTATAGCCTCAGAATGTGGCACACCTGACAACTCTTTGGAAAATAATCCCATTAAAAGACTTCATCTGAGATCAAAGGTGACACAGTAATGCAATCCAGATGTTTGCAGCTGCATTACAACCAAGAGAAACCCCTGTAAACAACAGAAGTGAAGTTTGTTTTGATGGATTTTCTTATCAAGTGAGTCAAAAGCAAAGCAGTCTGTCAAGATCAGCCGCATGCTGTGTAATGTCATCTCTGTTGCAGAATGTTAGAGAGCACAAATTTACCCTTAAAATGTGTGTTTAAAAAAACAATCGAGGAAATTTGACTTGGTGTTTTGTTGCAAAGGAGCAAAGATAGTAAGCAGCTATAAAAGCAGCAGTGCTCCTGACTATGGAAGAGGATTGGGGCCACTGAAAAAAAAAAAAAAAATTTGGGGGGAAAATTAAAAAGAATATATTAAAGAATATTTTAAAAAATGGCCCTAATCCTCTTCCGTACCTGACAACTTATAAATAATAAGATAAAACATATAAGAAGACATTTAAAAATATACATACTAGAATATAAACATATTGATGAAATTTCTTTTTTATTTCTATTTTTTTTTTTTCCTGTAGCACTTTGAGATTTTTTTGCAAGAATGTGAAGTGCATTACAAATTAAATGTATTATTATTATTATTATATGATAACACAAACATGTTAACATGTGGAGCTGTGTGCAGGTATATGTATTATTTACAATACAGATATAATACTTATTCAGCACTTTTAGCAGCCACAGTGATTTGAACATCTTAAGATGTTTCAGATCAATCGGCTTGATCATTTATATAGCTCAAAATGGAGCTTAATTCTTTTTTCCCCCATTGAATTACTTCATTAAGGGTGGGCTGTGCTAATTGCTGCTAACAAACCTTCTCTGCAGCCCTAAGCCTCTCTTTGGTCTCCACAGGAGCTCATTTACTTCCGCCTGCACGCGGACGCTGGTTGTCCAGCCAATGCGTCCAACCCATTTGTTTACGCTCTTGTCCATGTAGCTCTACGGCAGAGCTAATTAGAGCATTCATCCCATTAGCAGATGGCATTTCTGCAATGCTAGCTTTTCTGTGGCTATTTGCAAAGGCTTACTGTTTCCATCTCTGACAGTCTTTTCAAACATCCCAGCTCTTCTGCAACACATCACAACAAAAGCCACCACGCGGGTGTAAGCACCATGTTGAGGTCCTCTAATGAAAGCCTGTCAGTCAAACGTTCCCCCCCACAACACCTGGAAATAGAGTAGAGTGGGCAGCGACTTACTAAATGCTTATTGGCGCACAATGTTTTTATTCTTACTAGTAAAGGAGATCATTTTCATCTTAGGTATCTTGAGCTTTTTGTGTTGTTGTGTTTTTTTTTTAGATGAAGCGTTTTTCAAAATAAAAATACTACATTTTAAAGGTATGGTTTAAAAAATCCAACCCTCAAATCCTACAGGGAGCGCAACGCAAGATGTTAAAGAGATCAGGTATTCACAGTAAATAATTAGGAACAGGTACCTCATCACTTTTACTGTCAAATGTATTCACACGGCATTTAAGGCCCAACAATGCCCAGGACGCCACAGGCACCCTGGAGGCGACGCTGATGAAGGTTATAACATATCAACGAGTCCCAAGGCGCACAGGTGACATTCTTGAAGACAGTGGAAACATGGAGACATCTTTGTTGGAGGGCCTTGAGCTGAACCAGTTTTAACGCCACCCCTGTGGTGTTCACCTGTCTCTCTCTCAGAGAGAAAAAAAAACACAGCAGGCACAACAGTAGTTTTTTTATCACAAGATATTTATTATTAACACCAATAATCTTTTTATTTTCACGACTCCAACAGTTTTAAAAAGCTTTGAGAAAGAACTACAGCAGAGCCTTAAAAAAAAGCATAGTTTTTCTCTTCCAAATAAAACATTAATACCAGTTTGAGTGTTTAAAGGAGAAACATGGTGAATGAAAATGTTTTTTAATATAATTTAAAGGCTTTATATGTTTTTCATCCAGCAGGTGTCGCCCTTGAGCAACAGCGGGAAACCAAAACAACTAGCGCTGCATTGTTTGTGTTAGCATGCTAATGCTAGCGATCTTTAGCTAGTTCATAGCGTCACACTGCATGTAAATTTACCCGACTCACAGAGTTATTTTCAAAGGATATATTTGATTTCTGCTACATTTAAGTGTGATAAATCGCATATAAAGCCTTTAACTCTTAAAATTAAATTAAAAATCTTCGCCTTCCATACTTTTCACATTATCCAATCATTTAAAACTATCAAGCGGACTAAATATCTCATTAAAAACAGGAACAAAAACATGGATTGTTTGCATGAAAGTGTAGTGTTGCATCGCATTGCTTATCGAGTGTTTGAAATTTGTATTTTTCAGCTTTTTAAAAACATTTTATGACTGGTATCTTTATAAAATATTACTAATAAAAGAGGATTTATCCCTGGTGTCAGCTGTTCAGGCCAACAGGAAGTCTTCAAACTGAGTAGTCGGAGTCGTTCATCAGATACCCCGCTGTGATTGAATCCGTCACCCATGAGTCTCGCACTATCTTAAACTTCTTCCTGAAGCAGCGTCTCAGAGTTCTCAAATCCAGAAGTCTGGTTTCCTCTGCGATGATAACGTGAGAGACTCCTTCCTCAAGCTTGTGCAACACCTTCCCCCCGTGGTAACGGAACTCCAGCGCCCTGATGTCCAAACATGAAGCGGATAAGGCGGTTTTGGGGTCTCCTATGTTGGCGTAGCGGTCCATGTAAACCTCAAAGGGTCTGAACAAGCTGGTTGGAAGGTCCTCCCAACCGTACCGCTGCTCAACCTGGCCCACGTTCACTCCCGCCGGTGATGATTCGGGGCCACTCATTCGCCCGAACACCTCCCGCAGCTGCCGCTCGTCCGCCGCCACAAAGTAGCTGTCTCCGTAGCAATCGTACTCTTTGGCAAAGTGCTCCCTGGTGGAGGGTGACATGTGGATCATGTGACCAGGCTGCCACGGGACGACCTCTTTGTGGTGGAGGCACTCCAGCAGCCAGGCGGCCCGCACCAAGTCGTGCTGGTCGGAGGAAATCAGGTTCTTCACACGCATGTTCTCCACCCCGGCAATCACGCAGTAGGTGTCCCGTCCCGGGTTTTGAACCACAATACCTCCACACCTAATGAGAAAACGACACAATCAAAGTCTTATTCTTGGGTTTAACTTGGAGCATTATCGCACTCTTAGTTTATTGACCACACCTGGTTTTTGCTGCTTTAGCATTACTAGTTTAAGGTGGCTAATGCTAAAACTACTATGACTTGTATTATCTCTTTTTTGTTATGTAATCAATATTTTCATATAAAGAACGAAGCCGAAGACTATTTTAAAGGTTGCTTTTAAAAAGTGAAAAGTGACATCATTGCATTGAAAAGGAAATTTAGAAAGTCATATTGACTGATACCAGCAATGTAAATCTTCCACTACGATCTATAACTTTAGAAAAGGAGACGAAGCCCTTGGCTCATGAAAGAGACATAAAAAAAAGGAACTCCAATTCAATTCAATCAATCAATTTTTATTTGTATAGCGTCAACTCAACAAGTGTTATCTCGAGACACTTTACAAAAAGCAGGTAAAAGACCTTACTCATTGTTATGTTACAAAAAGCAGGTAAAAGACCTTACTAATTGTTTTATTACAAAGATTGCCTGAGTCTCTTTCATATTTATTTCCAAACTAAATATTTGTAAAAAAAAAATATATATATATATATATATATATATATATATATATATATATATATATATCAATGCCATATTCAGATGCCACAGGTATGTGTTTGTGCGTTTGGGTCACCAGCACATAAAGGGTTAGGGGTTAAAGACAAAGGAACCTGAGGAGTTGCTGGAGACCAATTGTAAAAGTGAGCGACTATTCATCAGAGGACACAAACAAGCCTCCAAATCAAAGCTTTGCTATGTTGCTCCATGTTTTTCTGGATGTTAGCAACAGGTGATTTTCTAGTCCAACAGTTAAACATTAAACCTCCAACAACAAGGTGTCATGTTACCTGGCTATCCCCTTTTCCAGCTCAGCCTTGGGGTGATCTTCAGTCCCATTCAGAATACAGAACTCAACATCCTCAAACATATCGGTCTCCTTGGTTACCCCGGAGAGATCCTGGGGCTTAAAGTGGTCAACGATCCCGACCACTTTCTTGGGTTTGGCAGGCATCTTGCGCTTCTTCTTCTGCGGTTCGTCGTCGTCGATGCGAAGGTGCCTCGAGGCAAGTTTCCCAGACGCCTTACCACGGAACTGATCCAGCTCGGCGAGAGTCATGCACTGGTGCCACTCCTTGTCGTCCCGGATCTTCTCGATCCTCGGGAAACGCAAGGTGCAGTTGGTTTTGTACATGTCGCTCCCCACTATCTCCGCGGCCTTGACCTGGACGATGACCGAGTTGCAGGGCTCGATGTAGACCTCCGGTTTCTCGGTTCCGCACAAGATGGAGGCCGGCGGGTCGTTCTTGCGGTAGACTTTCCAGTTTTTGGCGAGCTTCAACCCGAGGTTGTACAGCTCTTTCATGGTGTAGCCGGAACCAATTCGGCAGAGGGTGTGGAAAACTTCAGGTTTCTCACCGGGCTTTGGAGCTTCCGCGACGGCGCATAAGAAATGAGACATCATGCCGCCTCGCCTTCCTTTCCCCCAGTAGCCGCCGACGATCAGCAGGTCCAGCTCGTCCATCAAGCCGTCCACGTATTCCGGCTTTATCTTCAGCCATCCCTCCCCTCGCTTGTCCGGTTTATAGATGGACAAAGGATCCTTCACCATGATGCCTTCTTCCCTGGCGTCAATCGCGTCATTGAGCGTGTTCACCACTTCCTGCATGGTTCTGGCATCCGTCTTTGGGACGAGGTGTATCCTCCCCTTGACCGGGGTGAAGACCGTCTGCAGGGTCTCCAGGCGTTTCTTCAGCGTCTCTTTGCCGAGCTTTTGGTCGTTCACCAACAACACATCGAAAACGCAGAAGCACGTCTGTAACTCGGAGTCCTCCATGAGCCTCTTGATGTCGAATTTGCTCCCTTTCTGCATGAAGGTCTCAGTCGTCGGGTTGTACGCCATCATCTCTCCATCCAGGATGCAGTTTACGACGTTGCTTTTGAAGTTGTTGTGGATGTAAGGCGTCAAAGAGCCCTGCAAGGGGGACCCCCCAAACTGCTGCGTGTACTCGAAGGCGTTCCGACTGAAGTACTTGTACACATCCCCGTCTTTGTGCAGCTGTATGCGCTCGCCGTCCAGCTTGGTTTGGATGAAAAAGGGACTGTTTCCCATCTGTTTCTCGACATTGCGGATGTTGGCAACGGCCGCCAACATGGGCTTGAAAGCGGAGAAGAGTCCGATGGAGACGTCGCTTAAAGACACAGAGGGGTTGCGGAGCTGTTGGCAAACCTTGTTCAAGTCTGTGTTGACATTGTAGAGGTCATTGGCGTCTGGATGGAAGACTTGGAGGACGGTCTCTTTGCTGATTCCGAGCTTCATGTCCTTCAGGATCATCCGGATGAGCCACTTTTGTTCAAGAGCCGAACTCTGGGTGATAAGGTGCAGCAGACTCTTTTTTACAAGATCCTTCTTCTTGCTAGCGTTGTTGACGGCCACTGAGTCTAAAAAGTCGTTGACTTCTTTGACACTGAGGTTCCCTTGGCTGGTGCAGCGTTTCTTCAGCACAAAGTACGCCATGCCGGCAAAGTCTCCCGCTTCTCCCTGGGAGGTAGTGGGAGCACGGTAGTTCAAAAGTTTATTGGCTTCTGGTCCATTCTTTGGGAGGCCTAACACATCGATGTAGAGTTTAGCTAGCATGCTCTCTTTGATGCCATATGCCATGCGCTCTCTTTCAAAGGGGGGGGACTATGAGGCGCATGGCTGGGTAGAAAGAGTCTGTGGTTCGGGGCTTTTCCTTGTTGAGAGCGGCGTGAAACTTCCTCCATGACTCAATGAAATCCCCAAGGATTTTGGATTTCTCCGGACGAGTTTTAGACTTCTGGATTTTCTCTAAAGTGCTGCAGAGGTGGATAAAGGGAACCTGAGCCGCGACTGAGGGCTGGTTCCCTGTATCGCTTGTTGAAGGTCCTTCCATTGTTAAGACCTAGAACAAATATGTCGATGTAAATCAGCCAAGTCATGCAGTATTCAATAACGCAAGTTTTTCATCAATATAGGAATTATATTGGAGTGTTTCCCCTAGGTCGGACAGCGCCACAGATACTTGAAGGAATAATGGTGTTCATGTGTTTCTTTTAATGACAGCAGTCAATATAACAACTGAACAATTATTTCAACTTGTAGCCGTCTGTCCAGCTTAGTTCTTGTTCCTACAACTCCCGTTTCCGAGCGCACCTGAATACATCTAGTGATTTTTTTTTTTTACAAATTTGCCAAATATTTTACTGTTTTACATGTCATCATATTTTACAGTTGAATGTTTCTCTTAATTAAGGACTTGATTAATGGAAAAGAAAACATTCTTCTTGGGTTTTGAGTTAATAATCATTAGTTGCTCCCCTTGTCATTTTTTCTCTTATATTATAAGTTCTAATCATCAAGGCCATCTCCGAGTCCTAGCATGGCCTAATATATTCAAACAGAGATCATTTGTGTATTTAGGAGATCAAATGTCTAGGTTTAAATACTAGTGTAGTGATCAACAACATTGGTACAAAAATGTCATTGTTATTATAAAACTAATGCCCTCTCAAACTATTTCAGAATGAAACTTTTTACTTTTGAATGTTAATGTATTGTTAAACAAGCAATAAGCTTAAAAATTACGCAATAGCCGAGCAGTTATGTTGTGCGCCTCATGTACAGAGGATGTAGTCCTCATAGTAGCGGCCGTGGGTTTGAATCCGACCTCAGCCCAATCCTATGATCACAGCTCCCAACATTTCCTGTTTCTCTTCAACTGTCCTAGCCAATAAAAATCACCTAAAATAACTTAAATATAACAAAAATTAAGTTAAATAAATAAATAAAAATTGCTTTTACTTCAGTGATTATTTGTGTGTAGACACCAAAACATTGTTTTGTAAACCTGTAAGATTAAAACATGTTGCTATGTCTAATATTTGATCACTATGTTAAACATCTGTATAACATAAAGCGTGTTGTAATGACTTGTACCTGCTAAATATTCTTCTGACATTAACAACTCATTTTAACAGGAACTTGTCATCGCTCGAGTTTTCAATTTCAAAATAAAAGTCGGCCTCTCTGTTGTCATGTGACGTAGAGACTGTGTTTCGCCCAGACATGTTTGGACTCATTTTCATCAGTCGAAAAAGAGAGATCATTTGAATATGTATCATCCGATTTACAAACAACTCAATCGTAACAGGAAATAATTCAACAAGTTAATCATTTAATGCTAGTTGCGCCTACTTTTCAAGTTCCGGATCAACAACAAAACATCAACAACTCCATTAAATATATGATATTAAAGTTTACCTCGCTGCTTTACTCCTCAAAATCAAAGACCTTTCAGTAGGAGACTTCTCAGCGAGCTACATGTTAAACACTTCCTCGAACTCAGAATGTGGAGCGCAGAGTAAAAAGTCCCCCCGGAAACAAGAGCGTGAACCCTTTGGTTCCTATTTGATGATGATTTGAGTTATTTAGTATTTCATTTTTTTTTATGGTGATCTTGAGAAGTTCAAGTTTCAGAAATAAATGTTTGTTTGTTATGAACTTTGCTTTATAAATTAAAATTAATTGAACATTCTTCTTGTAGTCAGTTCGTGTGGTTTCATTTTTCCTTGCGCTGTTTATTTATTGATGCAATAAAAATACTCCATAATATTTATTTTTAGTTTCAGATTTAACGTGATGTTGGTAATGTAGTTCGTATTTAAAAAAAAAGGATTTAATTCCCCGTGGATATAATATAGTTGTCCCTTTACTCACCAGCAGAGGGCGACATTATCTCCAAACGTGAAGAGACAGAGTCAGTGTGTTTACCTTCACTGGGCCTGAAGCCATTGAGTCAGTGATAAACACGTAGTCAGACAATAGATAGGGATGAAGGTAGTATATCACATGATTATATAAAACATATTCCACCATTTTTGAGACTTTACAAACTCCAGGAAAACAGAGAAGCAGTTAATAAAATCAGCCTGATTTAGAAATACTGACTGATTTGAAACCACTATTCCAGTCTTCACGCTGACATGTAATCAGTCTTTTAAAGGTCACAAAAACATGACTTTATTGCCTCCTCATGTTTGTGTAAGAGCGTCAATCAATCTTTTAACCTTGTACTTTGTTTCCATTACAAACTTGTTTTGACACTATAGCACCGTTAATGAGCTGGTGTTCCTCCAAGTCCCCATTGTTGTGAATAGATTTTTGGTATTAACTCAGTTACATTAATTCATTAATACATTTGTGAAGTAGTGTGTGTGTGTGTGTGTGTCTTTATAGAAAAACATTCAATGTCCTTAGTGGGAGAGATGAACCTGCAGCGATCAATTCAACATTTTGAGTATTTATTTGGTTACAAAAACAGGACAGGGCACATATACGAGATAAAAAATAAAATAATCTCAAAAGAGTACATGAAGAATCATCTTTTATTGTATTCAATCAGGACTCAGGAAGCATTTATGTATCATGTGTATGAATCCTAACATATCCTATATATCCCTTACCCCCTAACCCCTAACCCCTTACATCCTCAAAAACCTATTTCTTGATCTAGATTTAAAACAAATATGGACCATTTATATTCTATTCTTAACCTAGATTTTTTTCTGATGCTTTGCAAGAACAAAATCATGGGGTTTGTTTGATAAAAAAAAAAACTAAAAAAAAAACTCCTCACTTCATCATCATTCCTTATTTGGGGGTTGTGTGTTGCTTCCTGTAGCCAGCAGGGGGCGACCTGTGTCTGTGCAGCAGAGCTGGAGGACTCTGAGGTCCGAGTCACACGCCAGCCAGAGTTGTTTACCTGTCTGCTGCTGCTGCAGTGGGGGATTATGGGATATGTGTGTGTGTGTGTGTGTGTGTGGGGAGGGAGGGAAGAGGTCCCTTTTGGAGCTACTATGTGCTCCAGCAGTGAACCCGTTGTGTTTTCACTGCACACACACAATGCGAGAGCAACGTTCATGCACCTGCGCCTGTGTGGGAGTGGGTGAAGCTGCGTGCAGGCTGCAGCATAAGACACCCCCAATACCCCCCCTCCACCCACACACACTCTGCAGTAAACGGCCTGTCATGCAGCAGGCAGCAGCGGGGGTTACATAAGCCCTGCTGGATGTGCTGCTGCACTACAACGAGCAGCAAGACAAGTAAACAAGTGACGTCACTGCTTCCGTGGCATGCATCAGCTCGCACGGGGACTGAGAGAGAAGAGGAGGAGGAGGAGGAAGAGGTGGGTGTCTGACATGTTGACATGGCCGATGATGAAGCGGTGCGTCAGCCTCCTCATTCAGACTGAGTCGGTGGTTGATGCGTGGCTGCTGCAGAGACAGTCGTAAACACTTCCTGTTCCCCCTGCTGGTTGCTGACACAGTGACAAAATGTGTGTGTGCCAGAAGAGCTCCCATAGATTATTCACACTGGTTGTGTAATATTTCAGAAAGTGCGACGACGTGGTGAATCCCAGTAAAAGCCCAAATACATAACATCCAAATGATGGAGAACTAGAAGTAGATAAGTGGAGAAGGACTTTTAAAGGGGCAGAGCACTTATTGTACTCACTAAGACGAGTCATAAGCAGGACCTCTGACTCTTTTTACATAAGCTGTGTTGTTTTCTGGAGCTTTTTTAAAGTTTGAGAAAATAACCCTGATGATGTCATGAGTGATGTCATGGGTCTTGTTATTTTTATTTATTTTATTTTTTTTATATGAAGTGTGTCATGGCCTAAGTCGAAGTCTGAAGATGCCTCAAGGCAGAGAGGGTGAAATGAAGGTAAAGGTTCTGATAGCATTGTGGGAAATGTAGTTTCCGTGCACACATTAAGAACCCAGTGAAAACAGCTACATAACCCACTTTTGAGTCCCAGTCCACCAGTTGAAGACCATCGGACTAAGACAGGTTTAGTCTCATGACTCAACGTTTACAATCCTGAGATGTAAAATGCGTTCTTTTGTGTTCATTAAGTATGGAAACCCTGATCCATAATAGTCTTCTAATTTGTATTTTACGGTCTACAACACAGAGAAAAATGCTCCGTTTCAAATGTGCTCTCCTTGTGATGTCACAGTGGGATTCTGGTAAAAAAAAAAAAAAAAAAAACCTCCCCTCCTGTGGTATACCCACTCATGGACTCCACCCCCAGCCTAGAACAAAACTTTTGCGCAGGTCGGCCATATTTATTCTCGCTACAGAGGAGTGATGTCTACTGTGAAAACTCAGGGGGGGGGTCATTACATTTAAAGAGACACACACACACCAAAACGGAGCGTTCTGAGAGAGCTGGTTTATACAGGGTCACAAACCTCCTCTGGTGCTTGATTCATGTTATATTTTTATCAACCCCAAATATGGGTTTTAGTAAAGTATATTATTCCTTTATTCATATTTTCTATCTACTTTTATATTTGTATTTCACTTCTTATTTCTTTGATTTCCCCTCAGGCGATCAATAAAGTCTTCCCTTATCTTTTGTTTTCCTGAAGTATTGCTATATTTCTGGTATGAGGCACATGTGTATTGTGGCCTGAAGGTTAACGCTGACTTACCAACAAAAACACACACACTGTGCGTAAGAGAATGTCTTTCAGTACAGTGTGTACCTGCTAGTACGACACTTAATATGTTCCCAGGGGCTGTTTTTATAAACAGAGTTCCAAAAAACTCTGTGTGCGCTTGCCAAAGCCGCTTTTGATATGCGGCAGCCTCGAGGCATGATTGAACTCCTCACCACGTAATCTTACACAAATGTCAGTGGAAGATGAGGACAGGGAGATCCTGTTCACCTAAATTGACGAGCGCAAACTATTAGTGCGAGGCTTTTCAGCTGGCAGGGGCGAGCCAGACAGTAACTGGTGACCTTCAACTAAAATTAGATCAGCTTCACACATCGCTGCCATCCCACACTGAGAATTGCCCTCTTTTTTTTGTACCTGTTTAAAAAGCTGTCTGTCGCCTCCCCCTCTTCAATCTCTGCCATAACAGGCTGTGTCATAACAGCTGCCGCTCTCCCTCTCTGTTGTTATTAAATTGAATTTCCTATAAATCCCGGACCTCTGTTTACATCAGAATGACTGGACTGCCTGCTGACCTAAGCGGAGGTCTTGCCTGGTTACATCATGTGGCATAATAACAGAGGGGGGGGGGGATAGGTGGTCATGGCAGAACTTAAGGGACCGCAACTCAGCCTTGGTTTGGGCTGAGATAACAACCAATGCATCAGTGAAGTGAAGCAGATGGGTTCACAAATGAGGTCAAGGTTAGATCTCATAAAGCAGGAAAAAGTGCACCTGATTTGTTTCCTCTCACTAAACGAGCGTGTCACAATTTCTAGCTTAATTAGCTCAAATTTAGAGAGGCTTACGTTTCAGTCAGGCTAATTAAGGCAAGGAAAATCAAAAACACTGTTGTTGGTCCTCTATCAGCGTGGTGCATTTGGGTGTGAACGGAGGTGTGGGCTTAACGCCACACTCTCTTACCAAAGCTCCTTTCCACTGACACCTAAGCCTGTCTAAATTGGCCAATGTCCATTTTGCTGGTGTTTAATCTAAGTGTTGCTTTGGCAGCCCTGATCACGCTATCATGACTTATTTGTCAAGTCCTATAGGCCGGAAAATCCCCAACTACATTTGATTTTCTCTCTTTTCTTACTTTTCAGAGAGGTACATTGTAGTTTCTGATGGGAACAGCATTTCTTTGTGTGCTCTAAGGAAGTGGTGTCCCTCAGGGCACTGTTCTTAGGCCTCTTCCAGTTTCTATAAATGCTCCTCTTTGGGGGAGCTGATGCCCCATTTATAAGCGTGCGGCCAGGGATCAAGTCCAACCTAAAGCTGCTTTCCCACATGTCATTTCCCACTATCTACCGATTTCCTTCTCTAGTCCTTTTGGCAAAATGCCAAAAACTTCACAAACTCCTTACTGCTCACAGTTTTGTCTTTGTTATTTATTGACAGTTTTAGAATTTTCAATTTTTTTATCCACCAAATAATGAATCAGACATTTAATGTAAAGCTTGATAAAAAAAATAAAATATATATATATATAATCATGAGTTTCAGCTAGCTTGCACGCCTCTTACAAAAGGCTAAACATGCTGGGTGTAATTGAAACACGTTGCACTTTGCATTACATTCAAATTATTAAATGTAGCTCTATCTACATTGGTAACTCTGTCAAAGGTTAGCACTCAGGGTTGAAAGCTGAAACATGAATGAGTCATTGTTGAATGAGTAAACTCAACATCATTTACAAAGTAGCCTCACCTGTCTTCTAGGTAAACAAACAGCAAAGTGCTGTATGTTGTTATCCAAATGGGCGTTCAGCAGCATTTGTTCTATTGATTAAGGATGCCATGGATGATCATTTGAAATGTACCTCACCCTTTTATTGTCATAAAGATTAAAGTATCTGG